AGTTTCGCTCTTATTGCCCAGGTTGGAGTACAATGGTGCAATCTTGGGTCACTGAAACCTCTGCCTCCCAGGTTCAAGCGATTCTCCTAAGTACAGAAGTTCAAGCCTCAGCCTCCTAAGTAGCTGGGATTACAGGTACGTACCACCATGCCCAGCTAATTTTTGTATTTTTAGTAGAGACAGGGTTTCGTCATCTTGGCCAGGCTGGCCTCGAACTCCTGATCTCAGGTTATCCACCCGCCTTGGTCTCCCTAAGTGCTGGGATTACAGGCATGAGCCACCTTGCCTAACATAGCAATTCCACTCTTAAAATATTACCGTGTGTTATAATTTAAAACAATAAATGTTATCTTTTTGCTACTTACATTTTAATTTATAGATTTCCAAATGTGACTTTAGAGTTTCTTTAAACTGAGTAGCTACACATTTACAGAGTTTGGGGAAAACGTTTGCAAATTGTTAATTCTGTATTTTGTAAATCTTTTTTTACGCTCTTTGTGTTCAATAATGCTTCCTTACCTGATCCCCAAATAATGGGGTCTTAGCTTTATTTTTTGGGTTTATAGCCCTGTACCTACCTACTACTACAGGAGAAATAGGAAGGCAGCTAAAAGAAATATCTTAGGGCACTGATTTTAAACCTGATTTTGGTACAGACCACTATGAGAACTTAATGAAGGCTTCCATGACCTTCTTCCTAAAAACATGCATATACAAACAAATGTTGATATACTTTTTTGGCTGTTACTAGATCCTCTAAATTTTGATCAGAGGCTCCAAGATAAGTATTCTTGCCTTAAGGGCATAACTACACACAATTTCAGATAATGTAGCTTAGTACTGGTTTAACACTAATTTGGAATCATGCCATCAGACTGACGGGTTGCCAAAGGTGCAGCCATCAACCAAAGAATGGCTGAACGCATAAAAATTAAAATTGTTTAAAAATATTAAAACCAATCAACCAACCAACCAACCGAGAATGACTGAAGACCTAAACCAAAAGTTCTTCTTTAGCAGAAACTATAGGTTGTAAAGCTATCACATATATCCACATTACAGCAATCAATCCTGGCCTATTTATTTATTTATTTATTTATTTATGAGAGAGGATTGTCTCACTCTGTCATCCAGGCTAGAGTGTGGTAACACGATCATGGCTCCCTGCAGCCTTGACCTCCCCACCGCAAGTGATCCTCCTGTCCCAGCCTCCTAAGTAGCTGGGACCACAGCCATGTGCGACCATGCCCAGCTAACCTTTTTTTTTCCTGACAAAGCGTCTCACTACATCACCTAGACTGGAATGCAGTGGTATGATCTTGACTCACTGCAACCTCCACCTCCCAGGCTCAAGCAATCCTCCTGCTTCAGCCCCCCAAGTAGCTGGGACTATAGGCATGCACCATCGTGTCTGACTAATTTTTTATTTTTTGTAGAGATGGAGTCTCATTATATTGCCCAGCCTGATCTTGAACTCCTGGGCTCAAGTGATTCTCCTGCCTCAGCCTCTCAAAGTGCTGGTGTTACAGATATGAGTCACTGTGCCTGGCCAATGCTGGCATCTTTAAATGCAATAGATAACATGTTAGTAGCAACAGTAGTAACAGCAACTAATGTTTATTAAGAATTTACTACCTGTGAAGCACTGTTCTAAGTGTCTTATACAAATTCATTTAATCTTTACCACTACCCTAAGTAATATATGTATTTTCCTCATTTTAAAGATAGGAAAACAGAAGCTTTCTAACTATACATATTGGAGACAGGCCTAGCATGCTAGACTGTACTAGTAACAACACGTTTCCCTGGACACAATTTGACCTAATAGTTGATTTGTTAAACTCTATCTGATAATAAATCACAATAACACAGGGTCCGTTAATGTTTGCTTGAAGAATACTACGTTGACTAATACATTGCCTGGGAAGGGCTTTGATCATTTTAGAAGAAACATACCCCAAAACCCAAAAATGTCTGTACTTTTTCCAAATATGTACAACTACTGATCATCTACAATTTAAAAAGATAACATCAATACCAACATTCTTAGACTATGACATTCTCTGTTAAAAACTTTCATTTTTGGACTCACTTCAAAATGTTTAAGGTACCCTTCATAAAAGATATCCTTCATAAAAGATGTGAGTTGAGGCAACTGCTAGGAATGCCTGAAGATACTGCCATCCTTTCATTTAAGAGGCTTGCTCCTTGGCAGGGATTTGAAATGACTTCACCAAACACATTCAGCAAACTGAATCCCCTGAAGTTCGTGGGAACTAAGCCCCCAGGCAGGGAATTAGGGTGTGGTAAATTCACTCACATTTTTTTTTTTTTAACCTGCACAAGCATAGTCCTGGCTGGAATCAGCCTCAGACTTTTCACTCTTTTAATGAAAGCTGCAATTTGCATTCCACCCTCCTATTTCTCAGCGTACTCCAGAAACTGGAATATCACTGAGGCTGGGGAAAGACAGGAACATTCTGGACATTATTCTCAAATGTTAATTTCCCATGCAATTGAAAATCCACAAGTAGCTAGGCTGCCAGCTGAGGAACTGCTATTAATCCTAAATCTATATTAGCAATAATATATTATGAGAACCTAGCTCAGGGCCACATGCACAAAAAAGCCTCATACAACTGTTACCTGAAAAGAATGATAACATTGCATCTAGCCAAAGTTAAATTTGCTTACAGTGAGGTCTTTGCACTCTTTGGGGGCTGGTGGAGTCCGACTTTATTGCTTTCTGTAAGGCTTCATCAGCACCTTCCACAGCATCTTCAAGGCCTTGCTCAGAATCATTGGATTTTGATTTTCCTGTTTCATGTACATTGGACTTGTCAAGGTTTTCAGACATTCTCAATTAAGTTTATTCACTTTCCTAGGAAAGAAAAAGAAAAAGAACCAAAAGTATTCTAGCTCTGTCACCAACTAGCAATGTGACTCAGGGCAAATCATTTAATCTCTTTGGGTTTCAGTTTTCTTGTTTGTAGAATAAATGAGCTTGCTAAGATCTTATCCAGCTATAATATTCTACTTCAATGATTAAACAGATACTTGTAAAATGACATTTGTAATTTATCAAATTTCTGGATCTCAGACAGATAGTTGGAATATTTGTGTCCTACTCCTGAGTAGCATGTTACAGGAATACAGGAACTTAAACTACTAGAAGTGTGTCCTCTAAACTGCCTGCTGCTACTACTTTAATCAGTGATTCAATGTTACATTCTTTCATTCCTAAGAGCAGATAGGCAAACTCCTTGGAAAAAATGCTTTTAATCGCGCTTACAAGTGAATCCACTTGCAATGAAAAAGATATCACTCGTGTGAAAAATATATCTAGGGATGATAGAAAATAGAATCTTTTTTTTGGGGATGGAGTTTCACTCTTGTTGCCCATGCTGGAGTGCAATGGAGCAATCTCAGCTCACTGCAACCTCCACCTCCGGGGTTTATGAGATTCTCCTGCCTCAGCCTCCCAAGTAGCTGGAATTACAGGCATGCGCCATCATGCCCAGCTAATTTTGTATTTATAGTAGAGACGGGGTTTCACCATGTTGATCAGGTTGGTCTCAAAGGCTGGACGTGTGGTGATCCACCCGCCTCAGCCTCCCAAAGTGCTGGGATTACAGGTGTGAGCCACCACGCCCCGCCTTCTAAGGTGTTTCTGAGGAAAAAGACACAATGTTTTTGCATTTGCTGAAAATAATTAACATCTGTAACATTAGTACTTGAAGATTACAAAACATTTTCATAAACATGAATTAGACTTTCTTACATACATGGAAGATAATGAAGGGATCAAAGGAAATGTCAAGTGATTTAGGGAGTTTGGCAGACTGTGTTCTGCACATTAGAGAGATGTGAAGAGTCACCTAATAGAATTATCTGAAATTTCTAAGGACTCCATTAAATAGAATGAAGTTACAGGAACTGAAATATTCAGGCCTATTTTTCTTTTTTTTTTTTTTTTTTTGAGACAGAGTCTTGCTCTGTGGCCCAGACTGAAGTGCAGTGACGAGATCTCAGCTCAGCTCACTGCAACCTCTGCCTCCCTGGATCAAGGGATTCTCTTGCCTCAGCCTCCCGAACAGCTGGAATTACTGACGCCTGCCACCACGCCCAGCTAATTTTTGTATTTTTAGTAGAGCTGGGGTTTCACCATGGTGGTCAGGCTGGTCTCGAACTCCTGACCTCTAGTGATCCACCCTCCCTGGGCTCCCAAAGTGCTGGGATTACAGGTGTGAGCCACCACGCCCGGCCCAGGACTGTATTAATATGAAGGTGTTTTCATGTATTTCCCCTTTCTAGTCTCATTTTAGCTTCCAACACACTGGGGACACCCATCTCCTCTCTATCCTAAATCCTGTTAGGTTTAGGAAATGTTCCAAGATCCAAAGGATAACGTTACCAGCATATTCTATGAGAAAAGACAAACAAAACGCTTCTAATTTTATCCTCTTCACATGCTGAGAAGAAGCCCAGAAGGGATGAAGTAATTCATTCTGTGCAGTGAGAAGGAAAGGCAGGATTTCTAGGTCTCTAATGCTCAGCTTAGTAAACTAACTCCATCCTTTTAAGATTGAGTTCAAGTCCTATCTCTTCCCAGGACACTTCCCGGACCTCACCAGCGATTGTGCTTTTCTCAACTCCTATAGGGCTGGCTAGTCGACAGTTGGCATCCATCACTGCCTTAAATTCAATTCAAAGTATGCTTATTTAAACAGAAAGATGCAAATACATAGTCTAGAGGGGAAGGCAGACATGCTCACAAGGAGCCATAATGAAACTTAAGCTTTAGTGGCATTATGAAATTGCCCAGGGAATACAGCAGAGAAAGAAACTAACTCTGCCTTGGAGGAGATTGAGAAAATCTTCCCAGAAAAGATGACATTTGAGCTGATCTTTTAAAGGAGTAGGATTTCACCCTGTTAAAGTATGTCTGGAGGGGGAGAAAGGAGGTGAAAAAAAAACGGCATTTCACTCAAAGGGCAGAAAATGAGAAAAGGAAGTGGCTGGTGATCATGGAAAGATGCGTTGGGGCCAGATGGTAAAAGTGCTAGTTTTTATTTTAAAATTCTCCACCTAGATTTCGAACTTCTTAAGAGCCAGCACCAGTCATATTCCCCACTTATGCTCCATCCTTATATCTGCCAAATAGACATCCACGAAGTATATGTTGACAGAGATGAATCCCTACGTCATCTCTGTGATGTCAGTGTATTTGGGAGGGCTGGGCGTTGGTCTCAGACAAACCTGGGCCCCAATTCTGGCTCTTTACTAGCTGTGTAACTTCAGTTCCTTCCTCTGTAAAATAGAGCTACCTACCTGCTCGGTTTGGGGGGAGTTGAAACGAAAGATTGTGCACAGCAGAGGCTGGCACATGGCAGGCCTTCCACAAACTGTAGCTCTAATTAAAGGGCTCTAGGATGCAGCCAGGAACCATTTAATTGCTTACAGCGCGCGCATTCATTCAACCCCCACTGTATGTAAAAAAGGGAGCCGAGGGGAGGAGGATCCACGCACTTGCCAAGAAGACGGTCATCCGTCGGGGCTGCACGCGGGCCTAAGCTGGACACAAGAGGCTCCCCAGCAGAGAGGGTCTTTCAGCAAAAGAAAGGGGCTCTGTCCCCCGGCGCCGGGAATCCCTCCTCTGGCACTGAGCTCCACTCGCGCCCAGCGTCCGGATTCCGTTGTAAACAGCTGTTCGGGCCGGCGAAGGAGTGGCAGAGCCTCGAGCAGAGGAGGACGCGGGCGCGCCGGGAGGGCGGCCTCAAGGCGTGGGCCCCACCCGCCCGCGGACCCCGCCTCTTCCTCGCCTGCCCCAGACATCCCCGGACGGGATCCCACGGGAAGAGGCGAAGAGATGCCGGCGACTTGGGCCGCGCGCCTCCCGAGCCGGTCCGTCAGCCTCCGCCCGCGCTCCCGCTCCCGCTCTCCTCACCTGCGGTGGAGTCGATGTTCTCCCTCCCGCCGCGAATCAGGTGCGGGCTGGCGCTACGGCGGAGGCCGGAGCGACACGCGGCAGACTGGGGCGGTTCAGCCTCTGCATCTCCGAGGCCGCATCCCTCGCCACGCGGCGGGCGGTCCTCCCAGCCCGGCTCGGGTGGCCAGCGGTCAAAGAGGCCGCTTCTCAGCATCGGGAAGGAGGAGACTGCTCTTGGCCGGGAGGCGCCAGCCCAATAAAGGGCAGCGCCATGTCTTCGTACGGAAAGGCGAGCGGCTTTTTCCAGTGCTTGCCGAAGGGGCTCAGTAAGCGGTGACTGGCAGGTGGGCGGCGCCACGTTTCCTCAGGGAAGGTCGAAAGCGCACCGGTGACCGCTGAGGGGGGTTCCGTGGGCAGTTGAGCCAAGAGTCGCCCGCCCTACTCAGAGAGGCGCCATGTTTTTGTACGGAAACGTGAGAGGCGTGGCCGAGTGCCCGCCGCTGAAGCTAAGTGGGCGGTTGCTCGAAGCTGGGGATGGCCCTCCCCACTCAGGAAGGCGCCATGTTTCCGTACGGAAAGGCGGAAGGCGCCGCCGCATCCCGGCCTCTGTGGTGGGTGACGCTAGGGGAAAGGGAGGCGGAGAAGGCGCGGGTCAGTCAAGAGAAGGAATAAGCGCGGTGGCTCAAGCCTGTAATCCCAGCACTTTGGGAGGCCGAGGCGGGTGGATCACGAGGTCAAGAGATCGAGACCATCCTGGTCAACACGGTGAAACTCCGTCTCTACTAAAAATAGAAAAAATTAGCTGGGCATGGTGGCGCGTGCCTGTAATCCCAGCTACTCAGGAGGCTGAGGCAGGAGAATTGCCTGAACCC